CCCAGTCATTTCAGTAGAATAATCACTGTCTCTGTTTTTTTGGTCTAAATCATGGTTTGAAAATCCAATTCTTTTAACAGAGCACTTACATTCGCCCCTTGGATTAAATGGTTTCTAACTGAAGTTATCAAAAGTACCACAGTACTGTTGCAGTGAGGGTTTGCTGCAGCTCCATCCTCTGTGTAGTAGTACTCAGCCTGCGTTACTGCATGTCTTCATTTGCATGTGCAGTGGTGGAGTGAACGGCTGCAGACATCGATAGCTTCTCTACGCTTCATTTCCCTCTAATAGTCTGTCATCCTCCCCCGTGGTCTGAGGTGGTCTGCACTCCACCTGTGTGGTCTGTGTCTAACACTTTCCCACTGATACGAAATGCATTTGTCAGAGTGGAGTGAGCGACAGGTTCATGTGTATCACAAAGTACAACCAACTGTGTACTGTTACTGCAATGTGTGAATGTTCCTCCCGCTGTTCTTCAGGAATATGACTCTACTGACTGTAGTACTGTGAAATACTGTAGATGTTTTTTACTTTTATTTAGGTAATGTAACATTAAAACACATGTTTAGATGTTTTGTTCATTTGACTGTTTTACAGACCATAAACATTCTCATTGCTGAATGTTAGAGTTTGGTACATACGTATGTTTCAGTAGAAGTTTTATGTTTATGGTCTATAACAGGGCTGTCAAACATACAGCCCACGGGCCAAAACTGGGCCACTACAGGATTCAATCCGGCCCCCTTGATGAATTTTGAAAATTAAAAAACAAAAACATGGATGTGAAAATTATATTTCATTAAATATGAAGATTCATCTTATACATGTGTACTTAAACCATAGACATGTTATTTATAGGTAACCATTATTATTGTACTCTTCTGGCCCACCTGACATCTAATTATGTGGCCCCAGAATCAGAATGAGTTTAAGACCCCTGGTCTATAATCTTTATAGGGTTGGAGTTTAGTATATCAACAGACATATAACGGACTGATAGAGGAAAATCAGCTCTCCAACACTGTTTCCTGAAACTGTTTGTCTCCTGATACCAACTAAAAACTGAATGTATTCAAATATATTTCTAGAGTATTGCCTCTGCGTTGTACTACCGTATGATGCCAAACTGTTCTCTAAATAAAACCTACCATTACCAGTTAATGCCCCACAGCTCAGTTCTACCCTGGGGTCACAGCAGAGCTTTAATCCAGCCCTGAGGTTTAATCACCTCAGCTTTAATGGACTGCTTCACTCTCACCTACACGGGGGCTGCTGTGGGGAAGCCCCCGGGGAGCAGGGGGGCTGCGTGATGGCTGCTGCCACGGGGTGAGCCACAGGCTTCTGCACAAATGTGTTCACACACAGAGAGGTTGTTGCTGCTGCTGTGGCATTTGAATAAGAATTTCATCAGCCAAAGGGAAAACCAGATTATGTATTAATATTGCTGCCTCAAGCACTTGTCTGCTCACTAGAGACGGTCGCTTTCTCACAGAAACAGAAATATCTCAAGTGTTTCACCCTGAACCTGGCAGACTGGAGTCAGGGTTAGTTTTAGTCCACGTCGTCTTTCAACAGCTGCTCTACGTCATAAGACAATGAATTATAATGACCATTAATTCTGAATGGACACCTCTGTGTGCAGACATCCGTTCCCTCGAGTCTTCAGTCGCTGCAGTAAACGAGACCTGGACAGCTACTTCCAGAAGGGAGGGGGCATGTGTCTGTACAACATGCCCAACATGAAGGACCTTGTTGGGGGTAAAAAGTGTGGCAACGGCTTTGTGGAGGATGGAGAAGAGTGCGACTGTGGAGAACCAGACGTGAGTAGATTTGGTTTGTTCACAGCAGTCCATGGGATAAAAATATACTCTTGACGTCACTGAAACAACAGGATTTCACACACATACTTCGACTAAACTCTTGACATAATTCCTGAAAGTTTCTCTTAAAGTTGAAGTGACTGGTTTCAAACCTCACAGGTTGAACAAACCTCCTGCGGTTCACGTGGAGAAAATTGAAACACAGGAAACAAATTGGTGTCTGACTGCAGCAGCGCCGACAGGGCTGTTTGTGTTAAACGTCCCAGTGACAGTGAAGCACAGGCTGCAGATTTAGCTTTGGAGATGAAACACGTCACAGCAGTAGGGAATGGATTCAAACTAAAGAGACTAGAACACAAACATGGCCGTAGAAAACACGCCTCAGACCAACTGCCACGTCTCTGCTCTAACTTTGAAAATAAGGCAGCTTTTATTAACAACAGTCACAGGACTTTTCATGTTCAGGAATTAAACCGAATGCTTTTTGTTTGATGTTCAAATGAAAAGCCCACTAGAAAGAACTCTGCGCTATACTGTTGTTTTTGTTGTTCTGTTACCCATAATCCCCTCTGTTCCTCTCCTTTTTTAACATTCTACAGCTTGTAAATAATGTAAAGTAGCAGTTTATACCAGAGATGTGAAGTTCACGGACCTTTGAACTTCCACTTATTTATGTCTGTTTACAAGTGATTTTACTACAGTTTTAAACTCTCCTTTTTGGTCCTAGTTACTGTTTAAATGAGGAATAAATGGCTTTAAACTGATTTTAATTTGTTAAAAAATAAGTCGACATCTGTATTTTTTAAAGATAATTTAATTCCTAATTAGTCCCACAGTGAGGAAAGTTGACATTTTTATTAAAATTTAATTAGTAATAAATAAATTAAACATTAAAAATGTATAAATATATTTATAAACTGTGGCTCGTCAGATGAATATGTGTTCAGATGTATGTAAAGTTTTTACATACCAGTTCAGACGAAAGCTTTTCTTCTGTTGTGATAAAACATTATTTAAAATATTCATTTAGGCATGAAGCTCACAAATATACATTATGTCCTCTAGAAAAGGAAGTGTTGAGATGAAAATTATAGATGTAGAAACTTTAAGGATTTTCTCCATGATATTTACTGAAACACAAACTTGATGGAAAAACAGTCAAACCAACGGCCTGAGTTGAAACAACATACACAGACACAGCAGAGAAGACGGTTGATAAACTGTCAGTTACCGATGACAGGTAGGTGTTTGTGTGGCTATGCAGAGAACAATAGACAAACACACTCAATTTAATCATTAGTTATGTGTTTTAACTCACTTTTTTGTCATTACTATCACACTGTTTAAACCGGAACTCAAGCAATGGTTGACTTAGCTTCGTTAGCTTAGCACTTAGCACGGTGGCTTCTCCTGTTATCTTCCTGCTCTTCTTTAATATATATTTATTTACTTCTCTGCCTTCTCTTGCGGCAATGGTCATTGAATATATTTATTTACTTCTCTGCCTTCTCTAGTAATATTTATCTTTGAGATAAAAGTTTGTTTCAAGATTTTCAAAGTTCATTTCATGTTTATTTTTAACATTCTGGAACTAAAACGCTAATTGGGTTAGTTAGCCAGCCTGCTAGTTAGTGTTGGCTATCTTAGTCCTAAATCAAGACCAGTTCTTTATGTTTATGTTTTTTATGTTCTTTCTGTTGACTCAGGGTTCTACCTAATTTAAAATGATTGTAAACACACACCTATATGTGCTCTTTCTTTTTTATTTGATGGTATAATATTTAATTTCAATCTGAAAAGTTTAGTGAGGCAAAACATGGTTAGTGAATTCAGTTTACAAATAAAATGGACTTCAATAATTCATGCAGTTACAATTAAATTGACCAGAGATGAAGATTTTTGTTTGGCAATGTTAACTTGTTAACTAGCGTCTTCTTTACAGTTTTATTTGATGTATTGCAGAAAGGTATTGTAGGTAATTGAAGTATTGTTCCTCCTGTTTTTTCCCTTTATTCTGTTTGAAATGTTGCAGCATAATGTTAATGTAAGTTGTTTTTTTTAACAGGTTTTTACAGTTCTCTGGTTTTAGAATTGTCCTCAATTTAAAAAGCTTTAGAACTTTCAATCAGTTTTTACAGTTCTCTGGTTTTAGAATTGCCCTTGATTTAAAAAGCTCTAATTTTTTCAATCAGTTTAATTAGTTAAACTGATACAGGTGCGTGTGTGTGTGTTTCAGGAGTGCACCAACGACTGCTGCAATGCCAACAACTGCACCTTGAAGGCGGAGGCTCAGTGTGCCCACGGTGTCTGCTGCGAGGGCTGCAAAGTAAGACCTCTACCCTCAGCCTGGCGTAGGAGGAAGCTCAGTCTGTACACAGCAGCGTCTCAGTATCATTAGTTCACTGTCAGTCATCATGTCAGAGTGTTGACATACTGTAGTCACAGTGCGTCAGCCTTCATCACAGCGGGGCTCATCGTCTTGACTTCTCAACAGTACTTTTCATCTCAGCGTTCATCTGGGTGTTGAAATGTAAAAACCCTGACATCTATTGTATCAAATACACAGGAAAACACAGGAGGGAATTCAACTGGGTCTAAGTCTCAGTAGAAAACCTCTGAATATAACAGTAACTGTTAGATGAGCTGCAACCCACACCATGGTTTACTTCATCTTTAACGTCATGTGGTACTGCATATTTTTATTTTTACACAAATGCACACATTTAAAGTATTTCTTGTCTCATCTTTTGCTGCACAATATTTTAGTCGAATATTTCACCTACTTATTTTAAACTGTAAAATATGAGTCTATTACAGTCAACCAATTTGAACCAATCACAGGGTCGCAGTTCTGTCATGCAGCCGTATCTACTGACGACAGTTGGTTCAACTTTGACAAGTTCAATAATTTTAAAGTCATGTTAATTTACTAGTCTGGACCACAATCATGTTCATTAACTTGAATGTATAAAATGTTACAAATATTGTAGATGAACTTCCTAATATAGGAGTACGTTGGTATCAAATATTTATGCCTTAGCTCTGACCATGAGTTTCACTGTAGAGACCGATATTTTATTTCTCAGTCTTATTTTTTAAAAGAGCAGCATGATAAAGAAAAGGGAAGAAAATCAGTTTTATCAGAGCAGCACGACTTGACAGCATTCTTTATCTTCAGAGACGTTACATAGAAACACAAGAGCTTCAAAAATAAAACTTTAACTTTAAAAGTCTCAGCTGTAAACCAGGATTAACTTGATTTTTATAGTAAATGTTGCCAATGATTTTCACAACATCACCTCTCCTCCTCTTCTGTTTCCTCCTCCTCTCCTCTGCTCACTTGATTCTGCCAATGATTTTCACAACATCACCTCTCGTCCTCTTCTGTTTCCTACTCCTCTCCTCACTTCCTGACTCTGCCAGTTGAAACAGGCAGGTACCATGTGCCGGGGTCCAGCAGGGGCCTGTGACCTGCCAGAGTACTGCACCGGGGCGTCTCCTTACTGTCCGTCCAACGTCTACCTGCTGGACGGCTCCTCCTGTCAGTACGGACTGGCCTACTGCTACAACGGCATGTGTCTCACCCACGAGCAGCAGTGCCTGCAGCTGTGGGGCTACGGTAATGACCCGACTATACACGCAGTACACAGAAGAATATACTCAGTATTACAAAGATAATCCTGCTTAGTCCAGGACCAGGCTTCTGTTTAAACATGGACAATTTAGCTGTTTGTCAACAGGAGTTTCAAACGGCTGTGTTTAATGTGTTGTGTTTGTAGTGAGGTCCTTTGTTGTACTTTCACAACACCGGCTTCACTGTGTACTGTGTCCTGTTCTACAGTAAGAACCCAGCTGGTTCTCTCACATATGAACTAGGCAGCCAATAGAAACAGAAGGAAAAAAAGATTATTTTAACCAACAAGGACACTGCTTCTTGTGCAATTTGTTTTCATCCTCTGATTTAAATAAATAAATAAAGTGAAATAGTCGTTTTGTTTATAAAACTCTTTAGAGCTGTGGTTTAAACAACTGCTTCTCTCTGTGGACTTCAGTGAAGTTGAGCAGATATCTGTAATGTTCATGTTAGTGAGGCTGTGAACAGTGGAGAGAAAGAAAAACACATCTTTAAACATCACAGTTTATGAAGATTCTGTTTGGTTTGAACTGACAACTGCTGACATTTATAATCACAGTTATTCTTTTTTATGTTCTCTCTGTTGAAAAACTCCAGACAGCAACTCTACCAGACAGTGTTTGTTTTCTCTGTTGAAAAACTCCAGACAGAAACTCTACCAGACAGTGTTTGTTTCTAAAAAATGTTCAGATAGTCACCAACGTTTAGTTTCCTGTAAAAACACCAGACCTTCTTCTTCTGCATTAGTGCTTGTCAAATGGTCCGACCTCAGGATCCATGTTTGTCCTGAGTTAGTTGATTGAGTTAGTTGAATCACAACATTTGGACCTTTTTGGATGTATTGAAAAAACAACTGGTATTCATTCCACATTTACGCTACAATAAAACATGAAGCACAGTGGTTCTCCTCCAGGCTGACATCATCCTCAGAAGTTCAACTACTGTAGATTAGATGAGACTGACAGACTGAAGTTTTCTCATCTCCTCCAAGAGGCTCCTTCAGGAGTGTTTGCTTGAAAAAAAAAAGTTTCTAAAGAAGTCATGTCTTTTAAAATGTTTTAGAAGAATCAACCAAAAAGTCTGCTATATAAATTCCAGAACCTTCCATCACTAACTCACACCTGTAAATATGACCTGACTGAACATGAACCCCCAGTATGGTATTGGTACTAAACTCTGAATCCATCCTGTACTGATTGATATAGTATTTAGCTAGTGTCAGTACTGAAGAGTTGTGTAGTTACTATGTTAACTAAATACTTTCACATCAATGTATATTTGTATATATTACTAATATCTCCAACTGAAGCTGCTCAGTGTGTTTTCACCAAAGTACAGATCTGTGGTAAAAAGAATGTTTTACAGTGAAGTACATAGAAAAATAATCCACTTTTTGAATCAAAGATAGAAGCAGTGAAACATGAGAGTCTTAAAGACTAAGAGTTCCACTTTAATCCACCTGGAATAAATGTGGATTTGAACTAAAATAACACTTAGTTAGTTCTCTTAAAAAGGCAGATGAGCTCAAACTGTGGTAAATCAGTACAATGATGGATTTCTAACATTGTAGGTCTGAGATTATCTGAACAGAGAAAAATGTTTGATGCAGCAGAAAAACACCAAACCTTTGTGTTTGGGAGAATCTGTGACCTGTGACTGTGAGGTGTTAGGTAAACATCACACTGTGAATTTTTCTTTAGTTGAATTTAGAAAAATACAGTGGATGAAGTGTAAATATATATATATATATGTTGTTATTATTCTGGCTTTAATATCAAACACAGAATGTTTCCAAAATGTCAAAACACTTTTAATAGCAGTAAATAAAAACAGTGTTACCCACAAAAGAGTTGACGTGGGCAGTAAACCACTGGTCTACGACTGTGGAGTCCAGACTATTTCTAAAGAATGTTATTTTTCCAGGAGCTCGACCGGCCCACGATGCCTGTTTTGAAGAAGTCAACGCAGCAGGAAACCCTTTTGGAAACTGTGGAATGGATCAACACGGAAACTACATGAAATGTGAGAAAAGGTAAGAGAGAGACGGCTAACGCTAACTGAGACGTCAGACGTCAAGGTTGAGTCTGTGGTGTTTAACAGGGAAACTGGCAGACAGTTGAATACTATGTTTATTTGATCATCCTGTAATACCTCTCTGTATACCAGTATAGAAAGAGTTTTCTTTCTTTTATTATACAAAGTGAGGAGCTATATCAGTGGGGCACATCAAGGCTGCCACATTTGAAGATTTTAACATTTCCAATATTTTCTTTATTTTTCCCACAGTCAGAGAATCAGAGTTTGTAGTTCATTTATTTAGGAAAAATTCTAGGAAAAACAATGAATGTGTCAAAGTGGGGTCGGAGGTAAAATATATTCCAGTGTAATCTACCAAAGGGGGCGCTGTAGAACAAACACGACTGTGCCAGAGGTTCTATCTTACTATTTCAAACGTTAAAAAAAATTAATCCACAAAATCTCGATGATTTGTGACCTACTACATTAGGGTTTGTCATAACAGCTGCTACCATAAATCATCTCAGTATATAACAAGTAAAAAAGTACACGTAATTTACCTCGAGTCGTTCTCCATAGTACTGCTACTCAATCTTTGTTATTGAACTTTTCTCTTGTGCAAACAAAAATATTCCCTCAGTTTTGTTCAAGTCCTTTTTAGTCGAAGGTTTTCAGTCTAATTTTCTTATTTAGTTTACTGTCATCACCTTTACCGTTTGTTCAGGGACACCTGTGTCATCACTAGTACTCTAATATAATACAGTGTACTCTAGGCCTCATGCAGGACTGTAGTGATTTTTGAACCCATATCAGTGTTGATCCCCTCAGTGACACAAGGCCATTTATTTAACGATCACAGAACACAACAATGACGTCTTATTCCAGTGACAGTGTGACCCACAGGTCAGAGCACATTAAAGTGAAGTGTCAGACTGGACTCCACTGATGATGCTGCCAACATTACAGGGTCTGTTCTGTGTCTGTGTGACAGCAGGGCTCTCTACTCTCTGATGTCGCTTTAATGACGGCCCACTTCCACACATATGGTGCAGTAAACACAGGCTGATATTTATCACTGGGGGGTTCATTATGATCATTGGTTCTCATGCACACGGAGAGAGTTGACACTTATCATTTACATGTATTGAGCAGGTTCCATTGAGTGTGTTGATTAGTACAGAGCTACATGTGAATCTAATGTGTCTTCACTCAGTGTTGTTGTTGTCATGATTAGATTTAATTTTTTTAAATATGATTTAATACTAATGTGTTTATTGTATTCTAACAGAACAGCAGCTCACATACATGAATATATTTTCCAATATAAATGGTGGTAAAAAGGGTTTTTGCCCTGCATGCAACTGCAGTTTTGCTTCTATAAATAATATATTGAGTGCACATTTATTTTTCTAATATTTTTTTATTAAATATAAATAACTGCTTCTTAAAATCAGGACTTTATCTGTACGAACTTTCCGAGCCTTTGCAGAAACATTCAACAGTTCATACTTCTAACAACCTGAAAAACAGCTCTGCTTGATCTAAAGATTTGATGATAATCTAAAAATTCTTTATTTTCAGAAGAATATTTAAAACATATAATATGATAATATTTTGCCGCTTCTCAGCCTCATCTACAGACTGGGATGGAGTATTCTTTTAGCTTTGACGAAAAACAAATCAGATGAAGTTGATGAAAAGCTGTAGTATTTTATCAACTGTGATATTTCCTCTAATTTTTTTAGACCTGAAAACTGCAGTGAAATAGAATTGCACAGCAGTAAAACCTGATGAATGTGTTTAGACTCCATGAATGTTTTCCCCTCAACCTCACGTAGTCACCAGGTTGTACTCAAGAGAGATCGTCTCTTTTTGTCCCTACTCTACGTAGCGATGCCAAATGTGGGAAGATCCAGTGCCACAGTGCAGCAAAGAAGCCCAAAGGAAACAACGCTGTTCCCATCGACACCACCATCAAGCCAAACGGAGTGGAAGTGAAGTGTCGAGGCACCTACGTCTACAGCACTCAGGACGGACAGGGTGACCTGCCTGACCCCGGCCTGGTCATGACTGGAACCAAGTGTGACGAGGGCAAAGTGAGTTCATGACAGTGGAGGTGTCTGTTATTACCTAGTTACTGATCAACGAGTGTATTGATGTACTTTCCTTTTTGCTCTAAGCAGTTTTTATAGAGTGAGTGGGAAGATTTTTGTGGGTGTATTATTCCTGTGTTGATCGCAGATTAAACCACAAATGGACAGGGTTTTTGGTCTAAAGTGTTCCAAGTGCAGGGTTAATGGAGCCATAATAAAACAGAGAGGTAAATGTTGTTAACACACTTTTATAGTCAGTTTATGCAGTGGTTCTGGTTCATTCTCTTTGGAACACACTGGTCACTGGTAGTAAATCCTCATGTCCACTCAACACTCACACCAGAAATGAATGGAAGGAATGAAGAAATGGTGAGAATACGATTCAGTCAGAACATTAACACCACAGACTTTATGGTCATTAAAACAATGCTGTTACTGGGCCAAATGCTTTAGCTGCTTTAATGTGATTGGTCGACCAGTGTCCAACCAAATGAGACAGGCCATGTCCATATCAGTGGTCATTTATATAGCACCCAGAAATATGTAATGGTACAGCCTGTAAGTCAGTGGTTTTTAAACCCCCCACCTGACCTGTGGACCCCAACATGAATCTGATCAAATGACATTTCAAATTAATTGAGCTAATGTCATATATCATAATGAATCAAAATCAATGATATAAAATAGCACAAAGCTCAAAAAGAAGAAATAAAGTTAGAGTTGGGCCATTATCACTTGAAAATTCCCTCATGTTTTTGGCGGCCCACCTGTCCCACCAGTGTGTCCCACCCCACACTTTGAGAACCACTGCATTAAGTTTACCTTATAAAGTGAAAACAGTGACTTAAAATATTATTTCTAAGAATATTTGTCCATTAGTTAATATAAGTTAATATAATTTATTGTTACTCAAGTGTTACTATTATATTTTTGTAAACAGAAAAGTAACTTGTTACACTTTAATGTTATTTATTTAAATGTTATTATTATTTGTCTTTGAAATAATAATATAGTTCAAAAAATATATAGTACAAAGATAGTAAATACTTGAGTATTGACAGATTTATCACAGACTTTGATGATCTTCATTTCAACACATGATCCTGGCAGTGGTAAACTGTACTGTGATAAAGCGACAGAGAGACAGAGAGAGAGAGAGGCGTCTCCATGGAGTTAAAACTGTGTTCTAAAGCCAGGAAACAGAGACCAGAGCAGTGATTCTAACATCCTGTCTGGATGTTGCTGGAATATTCTACATGGTCCCAAACCAACAGTTCAACAGTCGCTGCCAGGACTCAGACTGGGCCAAACCAGGCTGTAAAAACACCCTGGTGGCTAGGTGTTGTTAGCATTTCTAGGAAATTCAACAGTCGATTAAATTTTAACGACCTGTTGGATATAAAGTCAGGAAACAGAAAAACAAATCTTTGATTCATTTACAGCTTTATAAGGATCTGATGGTACCGTGTAAATAAAGACATTAGTCAAAGGGGAGAGGAGAGGGCAAAGGTCAAGGGTCTGTCAACAGTCTGTGTATGGTGTGTGTGTGTGTTGTAACCTCTATAGGGGTTTGTAATCTTTCTGCTTGTGTTACCACAGGTGTGCAGGGACCGCCGGTGTCAAAATGCCTCCTTCACTGAACTGGAGACCTGCATTGTACGCTGTCATGGCAATGGGGTATGAGGACACACACACACACACCTTACATGCAATAGTCACGCAACATCCTAGACTCACTCGGCCTGAGGGCAACACTTCCTGGTCATATAGTCAGCCTGTGTCCTGAGATAATGGAGCTCTTTGCTCAGCTGTGACAGACTGTGGTGACAGACTGTGGATGGAGAGAGCTGAGAGACCAGAGGCAGTAACAGAGTCTGGAATGTTCTGGTCTCAGACTCCTGTGACCTAAAGTGTCAGTCAGGACCAAGTGAAGGCAGACCTGTGTTTGAGGTGGACGTCTGTGGTCGGTGCATTGATCACATGACAGAGGTTAAACCACAGGAAAGAGAGAGTCTGTGATGATTTCAGTCACATCCTCATTTGTCTTATCTTTCAGTGATGTCTGTGTAGGTTCTCAGTCACCCAGTTCATTGAATTCAAAAATAGTTACATTGAAGGACACTGGACAGGGTAGGTCCAGGGTAGAGTAGAGTAGGTTAAAAAAAAATCACCTACTCTGTCCAGTTGCCTTTGATGTCACTATTTTAGGATCTTGTAGTAATAACTTACAGTTACAGTAAATGTCTGGTATTTGTTCATGTATCTTCTCTGTTTAGTCTCATGTATTCTTACCGAAAAGACAAACAAGATGTCAGTGTTTTATTGTAATTCCTTTTATAGAAACATATGCAGCAGGAGATGTTGCATATGACAACAGTAGACATTATTAGAATCACAGACATATTCATTGTCACCATGCAAAGTAAAATTATTTGCACAGGAAAAACTAATAGAAAGTAAGACTGAGACGACAGTCAATCAACAAATCTACAAACATCTAAATATATTTTATTAACATTTCTCTTTTGAAAATCTGAATGATTTATTTTTTTTCCCATTGATTTTTACATTCAGGTCTGTAAAATCTTTCAGTAGATCAGCCACAAGTGACATCAGTGTGTCAATCTCAGACAGTGTCCGTCCATCTGTCTACATGTCTCTTTAGCCTTTATGCTTCAATTTCCTCTAGATTTGAGACATCTTCTCATCTCATTAAACAGGAAATTGAATGGACTTTTTAGACCACAAAATCAAGAACACTCTCTGATGTTTGTCTAATAATAAAAAAAGTAGTTAAAGCTTTGAATACATTTAATATATATATTTATATACAAGTACTATAAAAACACAACATCCATTTACTTTCAGTTTTTTGTCTTAACCTCCCTATTTTAAAACCCTATTATAAGGCCGTCCAGTTTTATTTATTTCTCCTTTTGGGTCTGTAGAGACACCAGACATTCACTGTACAAATATAAGACATTGAATGATGTCACAGGAAGCTTGGATTTATTCTGTCATTTCTTCATATACTTCCAGCACCAGGCTCAGAGGAGTCCACAACACTGTATTACAGTATGTCAGTTGACTTTATTGTTCCAGATGTCATTCCACTGACGTGTGGGCTTTCATACCCCAGTGGCCGACATGCTGAGAACAGCTGGTTTTATTTCCTTTCCTGCATTAAAAAACAGTAACAGTGATAAAAAACATCACGTCCTTGTTAGAATTCAACAGCAGTGTTTCTTCCTGTCCTCTGGGGCGTCTCTAGTGGGAGACACAAATTGGAAGTGTTAGATTTCCTTACTGCCTAGTATTACAACCTTACTGCATCATTGTATTTGCTGAGTTCAGAATTATTCTTCCATTGAAGAGGAAATAAAAGTCCAGTCCAAATTTATTGGTGCTGCAGAACTCAGAAAACCCTGAGCGTCTTAGAGACGACAGTAAAGACAACAGAGACATTGGTTCATCTTCATCTTCATTGGTGCTGCAGAACTCAGAAAACCCTGAGCGTCTTAGAGACGACAGTAAAGACCACAGAGACATTGGTTCATCTTCCAATCAGAGGACAGAGTTCCTGGTTGAAGAGTGAAGAACAGCAGTGTTGGTTGTAACTTTGTGAAATCAAGACAGATTTCTGAATAATTTGGTTTCAGTGTTGAATTTTCCTCTCTGGTACAGCATTAGCATTAGCTAATGCTAACCTGACGCTAGCCCAGAGCTCACCAACCCAAGGCTGATGAGCTTCATTCATCTCCTCTAATGACTAAACACAAAAAACTAAGACAAACTTGATACATTTAGAAAATGTTTAAATGTTCGTCACAAAATGACGTCCTCCAATGTTGATTTCTGCTGCCTGACATCAGGGAACTGTCCACAGCAGGGGTGCTGAAATGGTTTACTGTGTTTCTAGAACTAGAACTGTGTTTCTAGAACGTACACGGTTCAAAAAGTTTACCTTAATACCATGACTAAAGTTGGCCCCGATGATGCTGGAACATTATTTGTAGTCTGAGAAGAAGGAATAAATGTCTAAACTTAAAGAATGATCAGGAAGCTGTGGTAGTCAGCAGGTCATTCTCACCCAGAGTAACAACAGCTTATACTCCAGGACAGGCAGACCTGGAACATGACTATAAATACATGGTTTTTATTTTCTATTTTTACTCCATAGATGTGTTTTAGCCAGTGATTCATTACTGTATGAGCTGTTGTCGTCCCCCTTACCTAACCCTGACCCTGACCCTCTGGTCCTGTAGGCTAACAAAGCAGCTAATTAGCCAAGTGAGGAGAAAACTGTAGTTTACCTCCAGAGAGCAGCTCACCGTTCTGTTTGGTTATTGTTAAATGTGTTTTTTCTCAGAACATCTTTTCACTCAGGTCTAAAAAAAATATATTTTTTAAATTAGTATTTTTGTATTCAAAGCATTATTGATGACATTAAACAAGTAAAGTGTACACAGAGAGCCCTTACATGAAACCACAATGTTGAGAAATGTGGTACGTCCCTGACCTTTGACCTGTGTATTCTGGCCAAAAGAATTCAATTACTAAATCCAAACTAAGCCATGGACCAAATACTCAGCAGTAGAAGAACCAGGATAAATATGAACAAACAGAAAAACAACAGTCAGACCTACAGTGTCGTCTTTTCTCTAATCCCTGTGCTGTTTCAGACTGTTTGTCTCTGTGTTCCCTCCTCTCAGTCTAACAGTAGGTTGATGTGGAAAATGGTTTGAGGTCAGGATTATTCTGATGAGACCCATATTCTTTAATCCCAGTTTTGAGTTCCTTTTTTTCTGTTTAATTCATATATAATCATTTGACTCATTTGTTTCTACCAAGAACACATTAGTCCGATCTTTAAAACCCAGTGAAAAGCTTTATTGATGCTTTGTTGAACTCCAGGTTCTGGCATTGACTGTAATAGTTTTTATTAAAATCGATTTTATGATGTTAAAATGTGTCAAATGTTAACAGTCACAGTTGGAGTTCTACGGCCTCAAAAAGGACCAATGAACAATCAGCAGCAGCTGAAGCGTCCTTCACGTGGACTGAGTGTCAATGGAGGACATAGTGATGTTAATTACTGCTAGGATGATTACATCTGAGTGTAATTGGAGCACGGCCGTATTTTCTCCTCCTCTTAAAGCTGCTGAATAACTGAAGAGATCAGCTGAGGTTAATCCAGTTCAAATGTTTTATCCCTTTTCTTTCCAATAGCTAAGAATAAATTCATTAAAATCCTGGACATGAATTGACCTCCTGTTCAGTGAAGGGTTAACTCTGAATAAACACAACAGAAATACGTTGAATTGGTAACTGCTGTGGAGATGAAGTAATTAGTTCAAACAGTAGGCGATGGTTCGTCTTCACTCTGAATATGTCCTACTCCTCTGTCTCTGCTGAGTCTGGGTCAACACTGGTTTATTAGGTTGTGGATTTTAGTGACACATTATTGATACAAACACATTTGTATCATTGATTGTAATAATATTAGTGGCTGTCAGATTGAACGTTACTGTGTTAAATACCTCTCCATGAACCTGACCTCATGATGACCTTTGATGGTTCTGGTCTGAAGGTCAGATTTGAAAAGGTACCACAGATAATACTCACTGCAGTACTGGTTGACCTGGAGGCCTGAGATGGAACAGTAGATCACATTGACACTGGTTGTGGGTAAATGTGTGTGTGGCTGTGTAGTTCAACAGAGACCAGTGAGTCTGGATCCATGTGTGAATTGCACTGAGGTTAAAGCTGAGGTCAGGGATGGATCTGTGGTCTGGTGGCTCAGATAGAGAGGCTTCAATGGAAAGCTCTGTAAGAACAGTTCTAATAAAAGAACTGAAACTGTCATTGATCCCACATTTGGGAAATTCTTGTGTTAACAGCAGAGCTACTGCAACAGGCTGCCCCCTGCAGGCGCCAAGTATGTGGTTCCTGTGGGAATTGAACCCAGGAGTAGCTGCTCTCAGCTTCTGAGGCAGGCGTGCTCATCACTACACCATGGAACCACAGTAGTATTTACACTGAAGGTGACGTTTCTGGGTATCCAACAGTGAGAGTATATTTGGAGGTTGAATATATAGTTTGGAGGTGAGGTCAGACCAGGTCAGATCAGAGGTGGTCTGAGGAGCTGAGGATACATTATGTCTGTGTGTGGGCCTCACTAAAGACAACAAATGACATTTTGGGAAATTCTTGTGTTAACAGCAGAGCTACTGCAACAGGCTGCCCCCTGCAGGCGCCAAGTATGTGGTTCCTGTGGGAATTGAACCCAGGAGTAGCTGCTCTCAGCTTCTGAGGCAGGCGTGCTCATCACTACACCATGGAACCACAGTAGTATTTACACTGAAGGTGACGTTTCTGGGTATCCAACAGTGAGAGTATATTTGGAGGTTGAATATATAGTTTGGAGGTGAGGTCAGACCAGGTCAGATCAGAGGTGGTCTGAGGAGCTGAGGATACATTATGTCTGTCAACAAATCACATGTGTGTGTCTGAGCAGTGAAATGTCCTCTCAGTCTCTGCTCAGAGTCACTGCTAACTCTCTCTCTCTCTCTCTCTCTCTCTCTGTGTGCAGGTGTGTAACAGCAACAGAAACTGCCACTGTAACCGAGGCTGGGCTCCACCCTTCTGTGAGAAGCCAGGACTGGGGGGCAGTGTGGACAGTGGACCGATCCAGTATGACAGTAAGGGACACACACACCTGTTTGTTTGGAGGAGAATGACTTGATGCTTTAACTGGGACCATTACAATCTAGTCTGAACCAGAAAGAAGACTGTGTTGAAGTGAGGGACATAGAAGACCGTTAGAGACAGGAGTGAGACAGTGATTTATCTGTTATGACAGAAATGTCTCTGATGAGCAGCTTATAATCTTAACTCCACACTGTCATTTGGAACACTGTAGAATCAGACTGTATTTTAGTCTCTGTAGATTCTGACCACGTTTAAATCCTCTTTAATATAAAAATGAAGTCAAATATACTAGTGATTTTTATGAGTGGACATCAAGTGATACATACAGCGCTGTGGTTGGTGGTGATTTATAATTTCTTTTACATCTCTTATTAATACTTATTAATACAGTATCTGGGCAGTAAAGCTAAGAATTGAATCATTAACTTTGAGACCAGAGACCAACTAATAACACCACGTTGACTCCTCAGTCTGTTTGGTAGACTGAACATAGAGGACGGAGAAGCTGAAGCTGGTTTAAAAAGTGTGCTTTAATTAATAATAGACAAAAGTAAAGGCAGTTTTTTTCTTGTGTGTCCACAGGTCAGGCTGGTCTGGTGGGGGCGCTGCTGTTCACCTTCCTGGTTGTCCTGCCGACGGTGCTGCTGCTCTTCTACTGCTGCAGGATTAAAACCTCCTTTTTCCACAAGTGGCTTTCCCAGAGAGAGAAGAACAAGAGCAACAGGTAGAGTCGTCTCCGTCTTTTCCTGTCTCTCAGTGTCTGAAATCACTACGTACTGTATGTGTGGTTGTTAGGATGTAGGGGGCAGAGGTCGCACTGCTGTAGAGGCTACGAGTCTGAGACGACTTACTGAGAAAAACAAAGGAGTACTCTGTACTACAGTGGGT